AAGCAAAAAAGTGATTGCAAATAAAAAGAAATGGCATTCTAAACCAACAATCGTCAACTCATTCTGGTAACCTATAAGATGTCTGTTACATAACATCACTCACATGAAGTAATAAGTTCCCTTGAGCACGTTTACGTGGATTTCTGGATTCAACAAGTGTGATAGCAGATGCTAAAGCTGAACGATCTCCTTTCAACAATCGCTCACGCAATGAAACAACCTGAAATGACACTTCCATTAACAAATTTAAAGACAATGAATCACTTACCAGGGGATCTTTATCTGTAACGGTATCATCCCAGTGAAATTTCGCATAATCGTCGAGTAACGCCTCAAACGGTTTCGTCTTTTTCACCCCTATCGTTGCTGCCGGTATTCGCGAAGTTGGTGCAGTTGCTTTGCTAGACAAGCTAAAAATAAAAATTCAAATTTACGCAATGAATTTACAACCACAGCAAACCTCCTTTCCGTTAGCACTATCAGTGGCCTACCGAACCGGGGCAGCATGCGGGTCAGCATCTGTAGAAGCACTTCAGTACAAGCAATAGTGGCAACAGTATTCGAAGAAAGTAGTCAAGGAACCGACCAAAGCATCCCGTATTACAAGAATGAGAATGACTTCATTCATAAACCATTACAAAAGGGACGATATTGTTTACACATATGCTGATAAGACAAGCATCATCAGTATTAGATTCATTCAGCAAAGGAGGCGAGAAATAGATTGGTCGAATACATATAGTTAACAATTTGCACTGAAATTTTGCACCAGTATGGAAATCGACGTATGATTATAGTAATGTAAGTAGGAAGCTGAACACATCAGGCCTATCTTGTTCATTAGAGATTCGAAAATGATCATCCGATATAAAACAAATCACGAAGGTACCCTAGCATAGGTAAATCAAATTCGCAGATGGTTGGGATGAAAAACTCGCTCCTATCTTGCTGCCTAACAGGGAACATCCCGAGAAAACGCAATGCCCTTGGTGTTCATCAAAAGGCGGTCCCAGTCGATATTTCGCTTGATTACTTCTTCTTCCATCCATTTTTGGTAGTTGTTTTTGAATCTTCAAAAAATAAAGAAACAGAATTCAAATTTCCAAATACATATATGAAACTGCATGGACACTAACACAGAAAAAATAAGGACAAAATCTTACCGCTTCCCTAGCTCTGGCTGTTTTCCAAGGACTGAGTGGAGACAGTTATCAACTGG